TGAATCCTAACCTTGATGATCGTCACACAAATCTTTCCCGCTTTCATTATGCGAATTCCTATAAACAATTTTTAATTAAGAAAGTGCAATTTATAAGCTTTAAAATACTGAATTGTTATGTAATCCCGCCTAAGCAATTATAGTTATTATAATGTGGATATTGTCATCAGTTGTTTAATATTAACAAAATTAGTAGGTCCTAAAACAACAATCAAATTTTAGTTATAGTTATCATTATCTTCATGTAAATAGCCATGTTATCATATTATAGTTATCATTATCTTCATGTAAATAGCCATGTCTTTAAGCTTCCTTTTTCACACTATCAACCTCAATATGTAGTTGATGACACAAAATGATTATCAGCTTTAAATATTAATATTTAATATTAAATATTTAATCATTATTTCTTCATAATACAGTAGTTTAAACTGCTGACATTACTTTCTTTAATTATTCATTGACCAAATTAACAATAATAAATAAATCAAGTTATACAGTTTTTCATTGTTTTAACATGTCCTTTTAATGTCAGAATCAATAAAACAGAATTTTCACCAGTTGTAGTCTTAGAGATAAAATCATACTGAAACCACAATATTCAAAATTAAAAAATCTTGTTCACTTCTAAAATAATATTTTAATTTATGAACTTTTTGACCTAATTGATAAATTTTTATCAGACCTTGGCTTAAAAATTTTACATTTGGTAATGAAATGCTCAAATAGAACACATTCAAATAAAGACAATTGTAAATCAAATTCTCCAACATTTAAACATCAAAATTATCCACTCTTCTAATTGAACAGTTATAAATGAAAATATTTCAATCACATAGTTCAAAATATTGAGAGAAACAACAAAAATAAGAACTAAAATAATAAACCCTGGCAGAAATCAAGTTGGCTTCCTTATAGTTAACACTCTCCTTTTTTTTTAAAGATCTCTAGCAGCTCATACCATCTTAAGTCTATCACCTGCAGTTTGTATCAGTCTAATCTCTTCAAATATAACCTTTACTCATGGTTCAGTTGCATAAATGGCTAAAGGCAAAATGGGCTTATTCCTATCAATGATCTGCCTATGTTCTTTTAACCTACAAAGACCCACCAGTGGCCCCTATATATTTCAATCTCCTATCAAACCTCTCATTGCTGAACAGGATTCTATATACTCTTGCTGCACGCATCACATCCTGTTTTTCATTGCCATTGTTAAGCAATTTAAATACAGACAGATTTCTGCAGTAGATTATTCTTGCCTGGATGTTCCTTGCAATTTCTTTAAAAATCAATGATGTACTTGTTATCCCCTGCAATTGCTGTTATGCATGTATGATTTAACTGCTGTATGAGTTTCGTTGGGTATCCATGTTGTATTGCTAACTTCCTTAGTATGTCTAAGATATCTGTGCAATGGGAGAAAGCTCTCTTAATTAGAGCACAGAAAGCTGAAAGTTTAAATGTGCATGGATCATCCAATTTTGCAGGAATAAAAATTGGAAAATACTCAAACTTCCTACATATAATCATGCAAATGCGCCTCTTTCTTAAGGTAATGTTTAAATCCAAAATATGAGCTGGGTGTACCCTTCATGATCTAATTTGAGTTGCCATATCAGTTGCTATTGATCTTTTTTATAAATTTGGCAATATTGGTGTTACAATGCCATAGAATTAAAATATCATCATATTAGATTGAATTATCCATCAATTAGGTCAAAAATGCTCGTAATATTTTGCTGGAAATGAATGAGTTTGTTAATTTTGAGTTGTAGTCTTATTTACTAACCCCACATAATATTACCAGTTGGTTATCAACATCAGTTCAGACAAGACACAAAATGGATTCTATTTTGTACCACTAATCTAATATGTTAACTCTTATTCTGAAAATAAATGATTTATTATTGCTGTTATAATGTGGCATTCAACATGGCTACATTTTATATGGATGAATTCACATTTTTGTTCACTTCATGCCAGATCCACAATGAGATTGGCCCAGCATAGATGAGGGTTACACAAGATTCCAAACCAGATCTTTTTTAGTATAGGATTTTAATGCATGATTATATCTGGCTGATCTATCCAACATTCAGATTAAGTTTTGCTGAAGATACTTGTTTTTGCTTAAAGTTTTTCAGGTCTCAGTTAATTAATCATAACAAATATTTAAATTTTTGCACTATATAAATTTCTTTCTATTATATGCATGAATATTTTTATATTTAAAATATTATACATAAAAATGCTTTTAATAATTTTTCATATTATAAACTCTGCACTGGAATTTCTTTTGAAACAAATGAATAAAGAATTTAACATAAATCATCTTACGGATTTAATATGAAATGCATACGTGCAAGACAAATAAATTACCAGCAAATAATTCTAAATCTTCAATAATCATTAACAGCTAGACTTTCAATAAGGTTCTCACTCGCATACTGGGTTCGATGTTATCATATCCATGAGCACCTCCGTCACACAAATCTTTCCCGCTTTCATTATGCGAATTCCTGCATAAGATAATTTAATTATAACTATTGAATTATTTAAAATAAAAAACATATATTAATAATGCTAAATTAATTTAAACATTTAAAAAAAAAAAAAAGTATATACTTGAAGATGAGCCATTGTGGATCTAAGTCTATGACAATTGGATCTATGCGATAGTTATCAGAATAATGGAAACGCTTTGGTAACTGTCTCTTGTCGTAAACTCGAAAATGCTCATTTTTACATTTCATCATCTTAACTGTTTCTTTAATTGAATCTAAAAATGGTAAATTGTAAATGTAAGAAATTTATTTTTGTTTATTAAAAATATCTAAATATACAGGAGACCATTTGATTTGATTATTCATTATATAAATTCCAGATTTTTAAATATATAAATTGAATCAAAGAAAGAAAAATTATAAATTACAATATTATGAAATTAATTTTAAAATTTTTTGCTTTAACAATTTATAATATATTAAAATAATTACGTTCGGAGGAATTTTTCGGGCGAATTCGAGCAGTTACTCCATACAGTAGAAATTCAGTTTCCAAGTTTCCCAAATATTTATCATATGTCAAAATTCTACTGCAACTCGTATCTTCCATACCTAATCAAATCAAAATAAATAAATCATTTTACTTTAAAAACTAATAACAGTTTTAAACTTTTTACATATATTAAGATTTAAAAAAAAAGTTTTATTAAATTTGGATTTGTAGTGTGAACATCAGATTACAATAGGCTGTATAGCTTCAAATTTGTAGCTTTAAAATCTGTTTTGTTATACCATATATTTATAACTTACACATTATGCTACAAGTTGCTGATTGCACACAGCACTTTTCAAACAAACGATAAGAAACAGTTTCCATTTGGCTACTAACAATCAACTCCCCTTCAGATACAGTAAATAAATACATTAATCTAACAACTAAGATGTTAATGGTTTACAGGTTAACAAAATTAACTCTTACAATTAAACAACAATAATCACATTAACAAATACAACTTTATCAAAAATAAAAGGGATTTCTTTTAGATAAATTTCCTTAGACTTAAAGATGAAAAACTAATTTACAAAGTCAAAGTTACAGTAAAACAAGAAACATATTTGTAACAGTTAAACAAAGAAAAAATGTAAAAAGTACTTATTGTTTGAAACCCTTCATTTTCACCATTTCAATTACCTCCCTTATTGTATTCATCTTTGACAGGAAAGGGATTAATTTGCATAAAACTCCAACTATCATATGTCATTCATTACCCTAACTACTAGTAATTCAGAAAGCTCTCAAACAGCAAAATAACATGGAAAATGCATAAAAACTCTAAAGGAATTTGAAAAATTCTAGATTCAAATTTTTTAAATATTGAAAAGTCTAAATTGAAATTTAGTATTGTGTAGCTTAGGATGAAAATTATCGGATTACAAAACAGACTCTAACAGTGTCTATTTTATTATCCATTTTATTAATTTTACCTGTAGAACAAAAATGTAATTAGTGGGATGACAAAACAGCTTATTAATGTCTATTTTGTTATCCACTTCAGTATTTTTTCTCCATATTTTTATTCATTTTTTAGTTAAATATGGTCCCCAAAATTACCATGTTCCTGTTTTTGTTATTTCTTCAAAAGAAAACCTTTTTCCAAAAGTCCACACTGGAATGAACTTTGCTCCCATAAGAACTGAAATTGGCATTTCACATGCACACTATTCACAACCTTATCACATCACATGTGGATAACAAAACAGAAGAGCATGGAGCAATTTATTTAAATCTATTTAATAAGTCTAACTTATAATCACCATGATCAGCCACAATAATAACATTTATACATCCAAGTAGATCTCTTTTATGAAGTCCTGTCATCAATTCACTTATAAAGGCATCTACACTTTCTAGTGTTTCATTCATCTGAAAAAATATAAATGATAAAAACTAATCAGTCTGTCATAAATATCTTATAATATAAAACACATTATATTTTTATTATGTAAGTGAAACAGGTGAAAGATTGGTTTTTCTGAATAAGTTTCCTCAATTCGCAGAACCCAGACACCAGTATAATAAGTCCTACTAATATGATATGTCCCCGTAGACATTTACATAATAAATTGTATAATAAGGACACAAAGGCATATGAATTAATAACATTATATTTTTATTCATATTGTTAAGTTATATATAGTCAACGTTACACTATCTGGAACCTGTGACCAGTGCTCTAAGCGTATATATAGTATATCGCTTGACAAACGTTTTTGAGCATCTGTTCGCTCTTCTTCAGGTCAACTGAAAATTCCCCGGACGGAATGTATATTATTTGTTGGGATCGGGTGTCGGTTCCAACTGGGTGGGCCGTATCTGGCATGCACAGTTGTGTGGTGGGGAGAAACGGCGGGTTGGCGTCTAACAGCGATTGCGATTGCAATTGCGATTGCGATTAGGGTTAGCTCTTCCTTCCAGTTAACGCAGGTGGTTAGCCAGCCGGCGTTATAGATAGCCGCGGCCTCCAGCCACCTAAGATGCTGTGGTGGGGCGTGTTGACAATGATAGTAGTCTTCTTGAGTTGCACTTCGATTTCGGGATCCGACACATATGTGGCCAGGGTTATATATAGTGTTGGTAGTGACAAGGAATAAGAATATGAGATGTATTTTTGCCAAAAGACTTGGATTCACATTGTGAATCCTAACCTTGATGATAAAAATATGTAGAGAAGTATAGGAAACACAGTTTGGCCCAAAATAGGACAAACTCTGCCCTTGGATCTAGTTTATTTAATGTGTAAGCAAGAAGACATCACTTTAAATTAGATACAAATAAAAAAATGAGAAGGCAAAAGAAATATATTATAGAATGTATATGTAGATGAACATGTTTATGTAAAGAAAAAATTAATAATATAAATAATCTATATTTTTTTAAAACAAATTAAGTCAGACAATATAAATGAATTTTTATTTATATATTTATATAAACAGCACTTCAATATATGATTAATATAGAATAATTTATGAAAATATGCATAAAACTCAGTTTAAAACATAATATAACCAGTTCATAATCTCCAGAGTAATAATAATCTAGAGATTACAAACTGCATCTACTCAACATGTTAAGTCAATTATTGATTTAAATCAATAATTGACTTAACATATTAAGTCAACATATAACATGTTAATATCTCACATGTTGAATGCATACATTACCAGTTATATCATAACTTCTCAGTACCAAAATTCATTCTATATACCTAGACCATAGTTTATCTTTTGTTAACTTAGAATAACAACAATTCTGACACAACTAAAGGAAAAGTATTTATTATAGATATTTCTAAATTATTACTTTTCATTCTATGAATTTTTCAATATAACTGACTGACACCTGGTTCAGAAATGATACTTTACGGAAGAAATCTATGATAGATTTCTGTATTGTTTCTGTAAATCTTTTCCATTCAGTATGGAATGTTCAAGTGGAAAGAGGTGTGGAGCTGGCAACTGATCACCTGAGACTTCAGAGACAAAATAAATATTGCTTATCTGGAAACAGTCAGCACAAGTGCAAACTGTTGCATAGGTATGCAACAGTTTGCACTTGTGCTGAGATGAAAATAAGTATGCCAAAGACTGAAGTGTTGGTAAGCATAAGAGATTCCATTCAATGTACTATTCAGCTATTTGGAAGTACTGTATATTGAGGCAGGATGTGGACAATGGAGATGCATTGCACTCAGGATTTTACACATTTGTCAACAGTAAGGCATATGTAGTAGTGATGTAGCTGCTTGTCAACATAGTGGCACCAGCAGATTTGTGATGAGGTTACTGTATCTGTTTGTAAACTGAGTGCATACTGGTGTGCATTTACAAACAATGTAACCATAGTAATACTTGTGGACAATATCACCATTAGGATATCTCATGCCTGTGTGAGTCAAATGGGACTCCTCCCATTTTTTCCTCCTCTTACAAATATTACTTTTAAAAACATGTATTTCATCCTAGATTTTTAAAAGTTTTTCAAGAAATATTTTTACAAGAATCTGGTGCCAGAGGAACTTTTACTCAATCTACTTATTCATAAGCAAAGAGCCACAAAAGAGAAGTCAACTCTGTTTATGTTAATTGTGTTCCTGTGATTGTAAAGGATGTGTGAAGACATAAAATTTTTAATTGTACTTAGTCTTCAATTTTTTAAAAGTACAATGGAACCTCAGTATATGACCTTAATCTGTTCCTGATGTTTAGACTTATACCAAATAGGACATATATCAAACCAACCTTTCCCATTAGAAGTAATGTAAAAATGATTAATCCGTTCTCATGTTAAAAAAATGGCTGGCTTTGAACACCTCGCTTTCCTGGCTAGTTCCTGCTTGATTTTTCATGAGATCAGCATGTATCTTTTTAGCTTTCTCGCAAATAATTGCTTCTGATACAATGTCACCAGCACACTGTTTTTCAGTTATCCAAAGCAAAAACAATTTCTCAATATGATCTAATGTCTTCGATCACTGTTTAGAAATTGATTTAACTCCTTTTGCAACGTTAACAGATTTAATAATGTCTTTATTTTTCATGATTGTCGATATCGTCGTTCTTGGAATATGGCATGCAACAGTTAAATCTTGAACACTCATGTCACCTTCATATTTCTCAACAATCTCTTTTTTCAGTTCCATTGTGATTCTAGTCATTTTTTTAGTTTTCTGTTGCTTTTCATTCGCCTGTTTGCAATTCATGATTAATAAAAAATAATAAAATTTTACTTACAAATTAAAATCAGAAGAAATTTAACAAAGTTATAAACCATGGCACTGCGAACGTCTAGTCTGGTCTAGTACACTGATAGTGCTATTTGTTCATAGATGGCGCGTATAATTGAATTAAATCGTATACCGAGCAAAATTTGTTTCGTCCAAACAGGACGTATTCCGAATTGGATGTATTCTAAAGCAGATGTATACCAAGGTATCATGTATATCCTGGATTTTTAAAAATTTTTTAGTAATGTTATTTCACTCAATAAACACTGCATATACACTGTATAATCAATATCCAGCAAGAAAAACTTCAAGAAAGCAAACCTTTTCATCTGTGTTGAAAGAGCATTGTCAGGCTAACTGACCTTCACAGTTTGAATATAGCTGTTAAAACAAACAGTTCAACATGGATGAAAACTTACTGGAAAGTTTTTGCTTTCCTGTAGGTTTTCTTGCTGGATATTGGTTATACATGCAATATTTATTTACATTAACCCAGTTTGAGTTGCTGAAGTTATTTCAGTCAATGTCAGATAAATCCTTTTATAAAAATATCTAAATTTATATTTAAATATTTTACATAAATCTTAGATAAAATTGCAGTTCTGAAGAGGGATTTGGACACCCAATTTCAGACCCCTAGACAACCAAAAGTTCAAAGGAATCACATCTCTAACTTGACCCTTGGTGATATATTCGCCTTTTTAAATTTATAATTTTTGTTAAACATGTGACTTAACAGAATGCACAGTGTGACTCAGTCGCACCCCAGAAGTAGTCAGTGAATGGTGTTTCTCTTGTCTAGTAAAGTGGAAAACAGTTGATTTTTAGCATTGTTTTTAGATATGGTTCCAAATTTTTTCACTTTTAAGTTTTAGGGCATTTTTGAGCATCTTCAAAATTTCAGATATAACACCCAAAATCAGCCTATCTTACATAGAGTCACATGTAGACTATCAGTTGACTTGGCTTTTTTTAAACCTATGGGTATGGTCTACAGCTCTGATAAGGTCCTGACTGCCTAATTCAGAGCTGTATTTGTACCAAATTTTATATATTTCATATTATAAAATATGAAATATATAAAATAAAAAATACTTTTTGAAATATTTCTGTTAATTCTTATACAGATTTAAGAGAAAAATAATTAATAAAATTGAACAAACCTGTTTTGAATAAGGGCCAAAATTATGGCCAGTAGTATCAGGTTCATTAAGATGAATAGTAATAAAAGAAGGTCTGCTGTCTGAAGGTAAATCCAGCCAAGAAAATATAGTTTGAATTTGACATTCCAAAGGTAACTTCCTAAAATCAAATAAATTGAAATTAATAAAACAAATATATAAATTTCTAATGTATAAGATTAAATTAATATGGCTTCATAATCTGAGTTTTAATGTGATATGTTTTCCAGAAATAACTGATGTTTTCATGTTGTCAATGCTATCTCTCATAGTAATTTTACCAGATATTAAAATATATCATTTCTATAGGTTTACTTTTGAGTTTATATGAAAAAATTAAATATAATAAAATATATTGTCTAATTTTAAGATTATTATTAAAGATAATAGTACAATAATTTATATGAATATTTACATACTAATAATAATATTTTAAAAAATTTTTTCAAAGAAAACTTATAAATATCATAATCATAATACATGCACATAATTTAATACCACACTATAACTAGATATAGTAAAAATATATAATGTACCCAAATTCAAGAAATATCTGTTAGTTTGTATGTACAAACATTTTGGTGGTTTAAGCCACCCACTATCATAAGGTTATGTTCATTTCTCAAATGTAGAACAATTTTTAGAAAGAATGTTTCTTCTTTCAAAATTTAGAATGTCACATGCATAGAGACATTTAAATATTAGATGCTGTGCTCTGATTGGCCACTTGTAGATGTTTCACACCTGTATCCTGCATTTCCATCAAGGCTCTTCATGCCTGTGCAGGGAGTTATTATTGTTGTAGTTAATGGCAGACTGTCCTTTAATGCTTTAAAGTTTCAATTTTTTTCTAGATGTCAAATACGTGATTTTTCCATTGCTGGGTATAACATGCAAACTAATAGATACTTGCTGGAGTTTATGTACATTATATATCAAGCATATAATTCTTCATCTGATAGATCAGTGTTTCTCAACGAGGGCAATATCGCCCCTATGTGGGCATTTTTCCATGTTGAGGGGGCAATTAGTAACAATTTATATTTTGGAGGACAAAAAACAATTTTCTGGGAGATATAGTAAAACATTATATTAAGAATAATTAGATATTTTATTCATTATATTGTACAATAATTAAACAAATAACATTATACTAGTCACTAGTCTATTCAATACAGTACAAATTTGGCGTTAACCTTGGCTCTTGGCATTGGAATTTTGAAGTGAAGGGGGCGATACTACATTGAAGGGGTGACAATTCATTAGAGATTGAGAAACACTGTGATAGATGCTTAATTAGAATATTATATGAGTAATATAAAGTGTGTCTCAAATTAAACTTGACATTTCCCAGCTGGCTACAGCAAAGTCTATTCATCAGAAATTCATGAAAGTTTGGGAATGCCTTAATGAGATGATGGGAATGTTCTCTAGAGCAAAAAAGTAAGTTTCAAAAACCATTACTACTGGGTACATTTTAAGCTGAAATAGTGGTATATTGGCCTGCAAGATCCCCTGACTTGAATCCATGCAATTTTTGGATCTGGGACTATCTGAAAGACTTGGTCTACCATAATTCCATAACATTGCTGTCAGATCTTAAGGATAGCATAGCACACCATATGCATAACATTTCAAGACCTACACTGCACACAACTGTTGAACATGCTGTTTTACACTTTCAGATGGTAGCAGACAATTCCTATCATCTCATTAAGGCACTCCCAAACTTTCATGACTTTTTTTTGTAGCCAGCTGGGAAATGTCAAGTTTAATTTGTGACACCCTGAATTTAAATTTTTTAATGAGAAATATCTATCTACGTTAATAAGAGAAGTAATATATACTTATACAGGATAAGCAAATCCAATTCAAACTGCTTTTCTCAAAGTGAAAATTTCAACAAGTACTTTGGAATATATCCTTTATCATATGATTATGGTGTCCATAATCATAAGATAAAGGATATATTCCAGACAGCCATAATCAGATAATAAAGGATGTAGACTTACAATAGAAAAATGGATAAAATAAGATCAGAGTAAAGAAGCTCCATTTGTAAATACTGATTTATAGATTCTGTTACCATTATTCTATCTTGTTGCAGAATAGTGGCATTAACTCAAAGATGTAGCAAATGTGCCACAGTATCTATTGAGATCACAAGTACACTTTGTCCAGTCATAAGCCGAGGCTGGTAAAGGGTGTGCAAGGTCAGCAGCTGCCCAGGAAGGCAAATTACTAGGAATGGCAAAATGGCTGAAGAAAATAAAAATAGTAACAAAGCACTCTTAATTTCAGATAATCAATTATTTTACTTTTTGAAAATAATTAAGTAATTAAATATGTGAGGTCCAAGTCCTCACACATTTTATAGAATAATATTAATAGAATATAGAATAATATAGAATTTTTTGGTCATAAAGGTCATCCTGAATAGACAATATAAAGAACTTCCAGATAGCTTTGCATGGATATGGAGAATACAAATTATGTGTTATTGGATGATAGATAACTTCAGAAGAATAACAATACAAAATTTCTTATTATAAAAATGAATAGAGTGGGATTTTATATGGTTAGTCTCATCCCAAATAACACTGACAATTCAAAAAGTATTTTTAACATCTCTCTAAAAATCACTAAAATTTTAGAAAAATCAAATTTATTATTTCTAAAATATTTCTGCTCCAAGAAAAGCAGTTTGAGTTGGATATAAAGAATAAATACAGGATGCACGAGAAGTAGTAGAACAATGTGTGAATATTAAAAGATATGATATTAAAAGTAACTGTGATATTAAAAGAATTAGTTTCATTGAGAAAGCAAGGTTTTGTTTATAGCAACTATCCCATATTTTGATGATATTCCACCTTGTGGTCAACCTGTGCAACACCAACAATGATACACTTTTGAAGTTATGTTTGAAGTTTTCTTCACTGCATCAAACATTGTCCTACTACGTCTAATGCACCCCTGTAGATAACTTTTTTAAAACAGGGAGATACAATTGTTTTTGTAAAGATTCAAATTTAAACTTGCAATAAAGGTGAAGAAAATAAAAATCTTTAATATTAAAAATATATAAGAGTTTTAATATTTATTGATTTTGTATTATAGATTTTAAAATTTTTAATCTTGACAAACTAATGATTTCTATAAAATAAGCAATCTAACAGTTTTAATTATTCCTTAAAGTTAGAAAAATATTTTTAAAAATTACCCATTGTATGTACGAAAATATGTTGGTCTAACATTATTGATTTTAACTTCAGAACCAGGCCAAAAGTATACTGCAGACTTCTTATTTTCTCTTTCATTTGTAACCCACAACTATAAAATAAACATAAATGAACTATACATATTAGAACTATTTTGCCTTCAATAAATTNTTCAGATTTCAAACTAACATCTTAGCATCTATCATTTATCATTAATCATTTTACCAATTTAAATACTTTGGCATAATATATGTATGTATTTATATACTAAACTTCTTTAATAGCATAATATAAACTTTTAAGGCTCAAAAGTATTTAAAAGACCTATATTTAATTTTAAAGGTATTTCAATAAACAGAGTTCTATAATTTTTATTAGAAGTTATCAATTTTTATTGTGAATTTATTCTTTTTTACTTTAAATAGGTAGATTATCTGACAAATGTTATTCAAACTAAAGCAACAGGGGCTTTAAGAAGGTAAATGTATGGTATGTGAAGAATTTTTTCATTACAGTAAGTCAGAGTTGCTGGAACAAAATTTTCTGTGGGTGCAAAGTATTTAAATTCTAAGTTAATAATTATGTGTCCATTTTTAATTTTATTCTATATAATTTTATTTTAATGCATGATGTAACTATGTACAAAGTGTGTACAAATTTTTGGAAAATTTTGTAACATCATGTTTTTACTAATATTGAACAGAAACGTCCATAATGACATCCATCAGGGACATCAAGTATTACCTAAATGAACATCTACCAGATTGATGGATTGATCATGCAGTAGCCACAGACAAAACCTTCCACCCCAGTCACCAGATATCACAGCATGTGATTTCTTCCCATGGGGATTCGTCAAGGACATTGTTTATGTCCCTCCTTTTTCAACGACTTTCCTGGAATTGAAACAGCACGTTCACACCACCTTTGGAAATGTGACAAGACAAGTTTGAAAAGGTTTGATGAGAATGGAAGTAGTTTGGACATCTGCCATGCCACATATGGGGCATATATTGAATGCAAAAAAAAGGATATTTACAAAATTGCAAATATCCTTTCAAATCATGGTTAATATATATTTCTGTTCAGTATTGGTAAAAATATAATCTTGTGAAATTGTCCAATAATTTGTGCACATCCTGTATAATGAAATAAAATATTCTTATACATTAGTATGGTGGCAACTGATCCCTCTGCCCCCAGCTCCAGTGCCATTGCTATAAGTCATGAATAAAAATTATACAAGTACTTTTCTTTAATATATAAAAACTTCATAGAATAATATAGAATTTTTTGGTCATAAAGGTCATCCTGAATAGACAATATAAAGAACTTCCAGATAGCTTTGCATGGATATGGAGAATACAATTAAAATAATAACATTCTATTTTGTAAATATTTTTATTTTTAAATGTTATCAGTACAACTCCATTCCATTCAGTTTCCTAATAGATATACAATATTCCCAGAAACTTTTTTATTCCTGTATTTTTTGAATTTTCTAATAAATTGTAGCATCTACTTAATTATAATAAAATCAACAGATAATAAATCACTATATAACAGATCATTACAAGGGAGTAATATAATCCAATAATTTTAAAAGAACTGGACATATAAATACTCCATAAATCATAAAAATTAGAAATTTTCTATATACTCACAGGATCTTTTAGCCACCAAATAGACTTTAAAGATTCACGATTACCAACTGAGAATCGCTCCTTTGTAATTGGATCATATATTTTATTGTCAACAATTCCATGGGTTTCGGGATACAAACCCTGTAAAAAATATAATAAATTAAATAATGTATATATTAATTTTTAATATTATGCAAAATATTATAATAAAGACTTTTATAAACAATCTCCAAAAATAAATTATTCACAAATGTATTCCGTTGTCTACAAGGTGTAATAAAACTCTGTGCAATATTTCAGGGATAGAGTTTAGGGTTAAAAATAAGCTTATAATCCTCTGTAAACATTTTTCAAATCCTGCTTTGTTTTCAAGGTCTGGCCTGCCAAAAAATTCAATTATGCATCTGCATCTGTAGAGGGCATTTTGAGCAGTTTTTGTAAATTATTCCATTTAATTTTGTAAAAAACAAAATGTTATTCAGAGTGAATTTATATTGAAAAACTCTTGCTTTCCAACTATTCTTTTTTTTACTGTAGAGTAGATGGATACCACAAAATCTTCAACTAAATAAAGCTTTATTTACATTTATTACAGTAGGACCTACTTGGGCTAAATTTACTTACCTAAATCTGTTGACAAACACAAAGAATACAAAACTATTTTAAAAAGTTTTAATATTTTGGCAAGACAAATTACTAACAAGAGTTTTGTTAAACCCTGCATATCTTCTAAATTAGACTGAAATATATAATGAGACATTGCCAATTTTATATTTTATGATTCTTATTAATTTTTATAATATTAATCTTTTAAGATTATTGTTTGCCATTGGATCATGTATAGTGTCAACAGAACTCCAAAAGTATCAAAAAAATGAAATCAAAGAGTAAAAAGCATAATACTAAAATGGCCTTCAGGAATCCCTTCAAAAAGCTGATATTTATTTATATCATTCATCTTCCATTTAATATTTATGTTAGTAATACAATTTTTGTCATTCAAATTTTATTTTTGATATTTTCAGATATGAAATTCTTGATGATGGTCTGAATCACTTTGCATATTGTAGAATTGATATATAAAAGTGTAAATATACCAGTACATAAATTGTTTTATCTTTGATAAAGAATGGTGATTACAAAAGAAACAAAGACACTAATATAAATAAATAATCGACACACGCCGGAAGAATACAATAATAAACTTTCTACAAACCTATAACCAGCGTGAAATATGTTCAATTGCTTATGCTAACGTTTTCGGATCCCACTGGATCCTTCATCAGGCTATGTTCCATTCGTAACGATCCGTTAGAATGCCAGCTGTCTTTGGAACGAAATTTCAAATATCGTATTTCGGGTTCCATTCGGAATCACGTGCCTTCCAACTCGAAACTCCAGTTGCTATGTAACGATCTTCTGCTTGTATGTCGGATTATGTATTTTTATGAATAAATTTGTTTGAGCGTGTCGGAAGTCGGAGAAAATGCATGTAGCTATTTTTAACTTATTATAAGTACCGATGTCGTTTTAATTTGAATCTCCCTTCCGTATAAGTCCTAATACGGAAGGGAGATTCAAACATTCATAGAACATTTATCTGTTGTACAAATTAAATATAATCAACTTATTGTTAATCACTAGACAGTTTAAGAAAATAATATGTTCAATGTTCAAATTTTAGATCAGACAAGAAACATTCAGTCATTAGAATATTTGAGGGATTACAGAATGAGTCATTAAATTATTCTCATATTTCTGCACACATGCTCTTATAGATGTATCAAATTCAGCAGAATATTCCATAAAATACCTAAAACAACTTACTATTTTAAAAAAATTTTATAGTATTGAAAGCATTTTTTATTTTTAATAATGGTTATCACAGAGATGTCAATGAATTGTTGTAAAATATTTTTACATTTAATTTGCATTGACACAGCAGTGCAGTGTTCTTATAAGCCAAAACAAGCTTGCACAATAAGAGCATGCTCTTATATGCAAAATATACTATTATAAGCAAACCAAGACATGCTTCAAAAATGCCAAAACAAGCAATTTTCATACATCTCTTATTTACATGGATATATGGTAAATATCAATAAAAATACACTAAAATGTTCAGATTTCAAACTAACATCTTAGCATCTATCATTTATCATTAATCATTTTACCAATTTAAATACTTTGGCATAATATATGTATGTATTTATATACTAAACTTCTTTAATAGCATAATATAAACTTTTAAGGCTCAAAAGTATTTAAAAGACCTATATTTAATTTTAAAGGTATTTCAATAAACAGAGTTCTATAATTTTTATTAGAAGTTATCAATTTTTATTGTGAATTTATTCTTTTTTACTTTAAATAGGTAGATTATCTGACAAATGTTATTCAAACTAAAGCAACAGGGGCTTTAAGAAGGTAAATGTATGTATGTAAATCAAAGACCATCTAAATTTTAAAAAATGTCATGTATTGAAAGAAAGTAGAAAGTTTCATTACAGATATTTTGATTAAATCTAAAATCAAATAAGAAATTAATTTTTTCTGAAATTAACTAACATATTAAAATAAATTATTCAATACATATATTAGAGTTAATATTATTATGCCTTTTTTAGGTCAAATTCAGAATTAATTAATTGATCACAATACAGTCCAAAAGCAATCTGGTGTTTAGATTTATAAATTACTCAATATTTGAAAATATTAATATTGTAATTCATTATGAGTATTTTAAAATGTTAATAAAATACTTAACTGTAACTATTGTGTAATGATTAGGAAAAGTTTTAGAAGGAAATACTGGTTGCATTGGTCCTTGTACACCACATTGTGCCAACCACTGAATTGCTGGTGTTAATTTTCTCTCAAGATAGTCACTTCTAAAACCATCCAAGGATATTAAGAGCAATGGACGATCTGAAAAACTAAATAAAAATAAAAATTTAAAACATCAAAATAAAAGTTTTCAGATAAAAAGTAAATAAGTTACCCTTCAGGACATTTTCTATCAGTTATACAAGATTGTTCATGCCATGTAAGATGGAAGGATTGTTCTGGAAATAAATGTATTGTTAAAATACAATATTACATTAATACATTAATAAAATTTATTTATGCTGAGATCAAAATTTCTATAAAAATATTTTGTAATTATTCAGTAAAGATAGCTTAAAAATCATAATTTACTTTTGGCCATAAAATTATAAACATAATGTTGTATAAATTCATGAATTTCAATATTTATCAATAATATTTCATAAAACATATATGAAATACAGGTAACCCCCGTATAACACGGTAGTTACGTTCCAAAAAATTGCCGTTATGCGAATCTGTGTTATGCAAAACAAAGAACTAGTACAAAAAGGAGGGTTAGGTTCCAAACATTAAAAAACATGCTACTATATTTTCATAATTAAGATAAATATCTTTATTAAAATTTTCTTAAGTGATACATATTAATATAAATTAAACAATGTTTTCTTTGTCATCACTAAAAACACTATTAACCGAGAGTGTTTTATTTTTGGCAAGTTATCATTATCCTCTGAGCATTTTTCTGCATTATTTTCAGATTCATGCTTTACCTTTTGCAAAAAGTGTATGTAATTTTAGATTGCTTGCTTCTAGTTAAAAGATCTTTATAAATTTCCTTATATGGTGCTAAGCACTTATGGAATAATGGAAAAACATCTGGCAACACCAGAAGCAGAAGCGTCGAGATCTGACAAAATTGAAACAATTTTCGCGAAGGACCATGTGTATGGAGACGAGAAAAGAACATTTATACACTGAAGTACTAATAGTTCACGAAAATAATAATTTTCGTGAACTATTAGTACTTAAGTATGTAAAAATTTATTACATTTCATGTTGTACGAGGGTTTACCCATTTCTCAAACCGTGTCAGAGTGAATCCGTGCTATAAAAGTACCGTGTTATACGGGGATGGTACCAATTCTCAAACCATGTGAGTGAATCCGTGCTATAGAAGTGCCGTGTTATACGGGGGTTACCTGTACTTGCAAGAAATTTTTATTTATATCATTTATATATACAAGGAATGGAATTTTAATAGTGAAAAAATTGACTTATGTAATACGTACATTTTATTTTTGGTATGTTATTCACATTCCTTCAATATAGCTTCTGTCCATTTATAGGACCAATTGCCATAATTTTGGAGATGTTTAATGCCATCAACAGACATAGTTTTATTGATGTGATCTATTGCACATATAATTTTTCTTGGAACTAATTTTTTTTTTACAGAAATGTATCATATGTCCTGAAATGTCACCATACCAGATTTGATTGCATTTGAACTGCTAAATATCTCTCTAGACAGTATTAAATAGATAAAATGTAATTATGATCACTCAGTATATATGTGTATATACAGTATACTGGATAATCATATACACACATATATGTGCAGTTTGTTAATATAATAATTACTGTTATATTAACCAGATATACAACTACTATGCATATGTAGCTAGAACTATTTCTAAGATTATCAGCACAAAACCTTTCTCACTAATTTCTAGCCTTATTAACTGGAGTACAAACATTTTCGGCCTTCTTAATAAGCCTTCCTCGGGTACCCTGTGGAGCGTCGGTTAGAAGAAGTTTAAATGCTGCCAATGTTTACCCAGGTATCATCTTACCAGTGACGTCATCGCGCTTACTCTAAAATCTTTTTCCCCAACTTTAGCAAGTATCCTATCTGCACACCTCCCTTCTTTACCAAAAGTATGTTATTTTTTCCCCCAACTTTAGCAAGTATCCTATCTGCACACCTCCCTTCTTTACCAAAAGTATGTATTTTTCGCCCTCGGTATCGTATACCTATCATCGATGATGACGTCACTGGTAAGACGATACCTGGGTAAACATTGGCAGCATTTAAACTTCTTCTAACCGACGCTCCACTGTGTACCCAAGGAAGGCCTATTAAGAAGGCCGAAAACGTTTGTACTCCAGTTAATAAGGCTAGAAATTAGTGAGAAAGGTTTTGTGCTGATAATCTCAGATATACAACTTCAATTACTTTTTGTTCTAACCATATTTTACTTTAATGTAAAGGATATTTTGTAGGTCTAATATCATAATGAATATATTGTATATGATTCAAAGAAAAAATGTGTTCAAACTGATTTTTTCCTGATTCTCATATATTAATGCATCAACAATTGAGACAGACATCTGATAAAATCTTTAATATGATGTCTACATAAGCACACATTCTTATGAGGGATATAATTGGTATGCATATGTGAATGCATGTTATTCCATCCGAATAAAATATAATAAATTTAACAAATATTCTAATGAAAACCAGAATTATCAGACACATATATATATAAAGGTCTGATTTAATTATATATATATATATATTTATATAATTAAATTACATATTTACCATTTTTATAAATAGCATGATTATCTTTACTTCTTTTTCCTTCTTCAATTCCTCTAAAATAACCACCAATAAATATTCCAACTAAAACAAGTATCACCTAAATTAAAAATAAAGTAATACATTAATTGCTAAATGATGAGATATAATTATTATTCATTAATTTTATACATATAATAATAGGCAATTATTTATTGTGACATTGTCACAAATGCCAGGCTGATATTTTGAATCATATTTTTAATTTATTTCATTTAAAATATATGCTTTCCACCTCAAATTAGTAGTGGCTTGTCCCTGTACATCATACTTTATCTTTAACAATAGTCATGCTGGTCATCTATCTAACACCTTTTGGGTGGAAATTTTTGAATTGAAATAACATGACTTCTGGTTTGCATCGAAATTTTGTATATAATTAATTGGAGTATCCTGTCACTATATCTGATCTTGATTTTAATGTATCTAACTCTGTTCTCAAGATTAAGGAAAGACATGCCAACAGTGGGAATTTATAGGTCTACAATTTTTTTCAAATCTCAGCCCAATCAGTATATGCTTTTAGCTGGTAGGCAAGACAATCAGTATCAGTCTATCACTTTTGAGGAATAGATAAATCTGGATTCTCAGATTCACTCCTGGAATTAATCTTCAAAAATTTTTATGAGTGGTTTGGCTTACATATATTAGATTCTGTCTCTCATCAAATGGCTATTTTATTATGAGTGGTCAACCCATAATGGCCATGAAAAAAATCCCACCTAATGTGTGTAGTGTAGAAAATAAGTTAAAAAGTTTATGCTCTTACAGTATATTATAGAATAGGTTCTATTCTCTAATATTAAACTATATATTTTAAATATGAGTTTTGCATTTTGAAAACTTTAAGATTATTCTGTCATTTCAACCTTATAAACATTAGTTATACTACAATAAAAATAGCAAGACCTTCAGAAGATAGAATTGAAAATTTTTTAAAACATTAAAGATTTCTACAAGATGCCCTCATCAAATTGATTTTAATAATTTAAATGTGAAATAACATCAGGAACACGCACTAAGAGCAATGGATACATATTGCCTGTACCTGAAGAGGCATAGAGGATCCATAAAATATAATAAAAACATTATCATCATAAAACTTTGGCAAATTGTATTTATGAAATAAACTAAATTTTTTATAAGAAAGTTATTTTTTATAATATATAGATAACAAAGCATAACAGACTTAGTTCAACATTCTGTTATGCCTTGTTATCTATATATTATAAAAATATATAGATAACACTGATCGTGGGTTCATGCCTTGGCCAACCAGACAGCCACGAGGAGTTTTCCGGGTTTTCTTCACGTTAGTAACACCTAAATAGGGGCTAGTTTCACATAAAAGACCTCCCAGAAGCATTCTCCCCTCGGCAGATGGTGTTTCCGTAATCGAATAAAACCAAACCAAACCACAGTGGATATATAAGACCCCATCCTTCACCAGCCAGTGATTGTAGATCTAGCCAAACCTATGAAGTTTCTTCACGTATCTAACATCTAAATCCGGGTCAGTTTCCCATAGAAAGTCCTCCGGGGAGGCATCCGCCTTGGCAAATCGCCCACTCGTTGCGATGCTATATCCCATCAAACAAACCCATTAGATATGAAAAAGCCCTCTTAGTGCCCACGGGTCGAAAAGAGCCAAAAAATAGAAAACTTCTTAAAAGGGACATCGCATTTGGACACGATTACGCGAAGCAGCTACGCGATCATCGCGATTCTAGAAAAAAATATTTTCTAGAATTTTTGTAATATTACCAAAATTAAATAATGAAATTTCGTTACCGCAAGGAAAAGTAATTATATATTAATATTCGTATGTAAATTAAGAATATAAATAATATAATAAATATCGGAACAACATAAATTAATAATTAAAATAAATCGAAGAAAGAAGCAGACGAACTGGAGAGACCATCAAAATGGGTGAGTTATTGACAAGGCTATTTTTGTCTTTCCCTTTCTATTTTCGTGGATACAACATGGATTATGATTTGCATATTTACAGTATTTTACTTTTTTAAACACTTAAATTAAATTTAATGCTTATTGCTCAAATGCTGATCTATTGTACAGTATAGACCTAATCGTATTCATACAATTAGGCCTGTACTGTACTGTATTGTATTGTATATTGTACTTGTATGTTGTATTGTATACCTATACTTGTATTGTATTGTACACTGTATTCTGGAACCTCTATGTATTCATACATAGAGGTTCCAGAATACTCTCATAAACCGAAATATAGCCTTTTTTCCACTTGTTAGTGCAAAGAAAAGCCTAGATGTTATAACAAATTGCAAAAAATGGCAACTATGAAATGGCAACTAAAAAATGCAAAAAACTATACTTTAGTGACATTCCGCCGATAGCATCATGCTATCGGCGGAATGTCACTAAAGTATAGTTTTCTCGGGCCAATGTTTAAAATATAACTTTCAAAATCTGAGGAAATTTCAGTTGCAAGCAATGCAAAACAAATGAGGCGCAGCAAGTAGAAATTTATCAGGTTTTACAAAGGCATTAAAAAAAAGATGCAGATGTAGTAAAATGCAGACGTAAAAAAGTGCTCTGAAAGACCGAGTATCAATTGGTCGAGATAATTGAGCAATTGTGGTTAGCATCTGCAGTGGCATGTTGTATCTTTGTGAGACCAAAGCAAATTTGAATTAGGAGACCCACGTATAGTACAGTGTTGACTTCAGATATTTTTCTTCGAGGAAATTTTTTCTTTTAACAGATTAGTTTGGGGCCCCAGACAATTGCGTTTTTGCCCATAGGATAACTCGCCACTGATCATCTGGCCAGTGTAAGAAAATATGTAAACTTTTCAGATTCTTTTTTAATGCCTTTTTTGTGAATCCTTAGTTCTAGAGAAGTTGGATATTTTTAGGCGATTACAAACTGGAATGTGCAAATTTTGGACTTTTGTGCGTACGAAAGTGAATTATCTAGCTATTCATACACTTTTAAGACACCAAAAATTCATATTACACTATTGTTATTTTTTGGTTTTGTTTTTTTTTAGATTTATTGTACAAAGAGTCGATTATTTTTCAGTTACTCATTATAATTATTTATTCAAATCTTGAGTTCAGTAATGTGTTTCTCTGTGATTTATTCCATAAAATCTTTCTATGATCTTTTGAAGTCGATTTTAGCTCCCGTTAAGTCAGCGTTACCAGGTTTTCAAGTGATAATTCGGAAACGGATAAAATTTCATTTCGTTTTAAATTTAATATTTTCCTTTTCTTTGCTTAGAGAATATCATTATTATGGCATAAAATTTAAACTGGAACATTAGATTGTGCCGAAAGGCCAAAATCTGGGACGTCTGGTTATACCAGTTCTATTAGAACTGGTATAACCAGACGTCGAATTCGAAAGCTATTTATTTAGACCAGAATTCGAAAGCTATTTATTTAGCAAATACTATGTATTGTTGTACTGTGTACTTGTTAATATTATGCGAAATATAGTAATTCAGTAGTTTAGTTACGATAACAATTCAGGGATCACGCTGTTTTCGTAAATTTGCGAAAATTTTATTCATCTTGTGATTAATTGTATCATCTGACAATTAGTGCGGCGAATAACCGAAGAGCAATTCTCTCTACAAAGTTTGAGAATCATAGCTTTACAATATTTATATGCTAATATAACAATATTATATTGACGGTTGAATGGCCGAAGCAGTTTAGTCTTCTTATGATTTCATGAACAATGCAACGCAATACATGGACGATTTGCCAAGAATGATACCTGGTGGAAGGACTTTCTATGAGAAAATGGTTTCTATTTAGATATTGGACGGTAAAGAAAACCCCGAAACTCTACGCGGCCAGTCCCTAGGCCAGGACCAGCCAAAGACCAATTATCAGTGTTTGGTGGTTTTATCTATGGCTATTGGTGGGCTCTAGGCCGAGGCAGTTAGGCGTCACCGCTCTGGAGAATCCGGGTTCGAATCCGACCAAGCAAACCCTAGGATTTTTCGGGGTTGATCTGTCCCGATATGTCGAGGTCGTTTTTCACTTCCCTGCTACGGTACCACTTATTGTAAGCCTGACAGAACCTACGATGGGTATAGAACCTAGGGTCATAATGGGGTGAGGGATGGGTCATTCCCTATTTATCATCATCCAGCTGCGTCTACTGTGATAATGATATTGGATATGAACAGCATGAATCTGATACATGGTGCAGTTAACGTTTTTATGGTATATAGTGCACACCATACCGAGTAGTGGACCCACCGAGTTCGCGCCTGGCCAACGAGCTCGCCACGTGGGATTTTCCGGGTTTTCTTCACGTTAGTAACACTTAAATAGGAGCCAGTTTCCCATAAAAGACCTCCCGGGAGGCATTTTCCCCTTGGCAGATCGCCCATGCGTCACGTTGCCGTAAACGAATAAAACTAAACCATACCGAGTAAAAAAGCTTAGTAAACATACGTCGAAAAACTCAGCTGTGGGCCAAGGCTCCGAGAGAAATAATCTGACAAGAACGTGGAATTTTCGAGAGAGTCGAGAACTCTCTCAAAAATGAAAAAGAAAATGCCAAGCGTACTGTACATAGAAACGGAGGAATAATATATAGAATAATTCGTAAAGATTTGGCAAGATTATTCCCTCTTTTCGTGTCAAATGTATCACTTAGAAGCCAATAAGTCATTCACAATACTAACATACAAAATTGCTAATATTTCTAATGGTTCATTTTTCGACAAATAGTTTTTTTGTTTTTTTTTTTTCAATTCAGGATGGTGTATTATAAGTAGGCCTGTTATATATGTACTATCAATCATATAAGTGCCGAATGCTTTTTTGACATCTTACGTAGGTTATGCTGATTATTATCATTCGTTCTAGTTCAGTAAAAATTAACAGATAGGCCTACAATCATTTTATTTGCTTATCCCCCTCTAATAATCCGGAAAAATCCTAAAAAAACGATAAATAATAATTATATATCAATTTTTTTCGGATTATTATAGAATTTATATCAGAGATGGAGAGTCTTTCGTAAAAAAAAATATATATATATCTAAATAATCTAAATACATATATATAATATATTTTTAGTTAATTTATCTGAAACAGATAACCAAAACATAGTACTGTTTTTGTATTACACCATTTTATATCGTATTAGACCATACTAGAAATCACAAAAAATCTCATTTAGTTTGAAGGCCACAAGCTCTCTACCTCTGGTTTATAAGCTACTATAATGTTCAGCCAAATTTATAATATTATCATATTAAATAAACAAAAAAAGCAACACAAAGCAAAGATATTATCTTCGTTTCTAGACGTCGCGAGATTGATGATATAATGTATATTTATAACTAAAATTTTTTCATGTGATCGATTAATTGTCGATCGGTAGCTTAGATTATTTTATTCACTCCAAAATAGGGTATTTTTATTCACAAATTTATAAACTTATTTTGTTCTCTATTTTTAGAAATTGTATTAATTACAATTTGAAGGAGGCCTTAACTTCTGTAATTTCTGAAATTTACGGAAGTTAAGGCCTACTTCGTTTTAAAGAACAAACTTATTTTAAATACAGTAGTTGTAAATATTTTTTCACATGGAGTAGACCTTAACTACTTTAATAACCAGAAATTACAAAGATTAAGACCTGTTTACGTGAAAGAGATGGAACTGTAATAAATTGAGATAGATTATGTAATTCATGCAAGTTGTATCATTCGCACGAAATGCATGATGTGTTCTAAATGGTCCAGACTTATTCCCAAAGTGACTAAGTAATCAAATGAAAATATAGCCTAACCACGCCTGATCATTTTATTTGTGAAATTTCTCGGGTTTCAGGTTATATATGTACTGTATATAAGTCAAAATGTCAAAATTTGTTAGGTAAAAAGTTCTATACAGTTTAACGTATCCGCACCAAATTTGGCGTGAATATTCTTCGACACCCTAAAAAATCCCATCTCTAACCATTCCTAAAGCCCACACCTTAAGGCCCTGTACACACTAGGCGTTTTTCAACGCGCGTTAAACGCGCGCTTTTAAACGAACGTTTAACGCGCGTTTAAGACCCTGTACACACTAGGCGTTTTTCAACGCGCGTTAAACGCGCGCTTTTAAACGCTCGTTTTAAGGAACCAAGAGTTCTATGTAGCCGTACACACTCAAACGCCAAGCGCGCGTTAAACGCGCGTTTATAGATTTTTGTTAAAACGCGCGTTTTGCGGGCACTTTACGGGCGCTTTGAGATATATGTGCTGCCTTATAGCGACGATGGAGGAGCACACACAATCAATTACTTTCTCGTCCATTTCCAAACTGAGCCAGTGTTAAACGCCGAACTAACGCTCGTCGAACGCCGAGCTAACGCGCGTTGAAAAACGCCTAGTGTGTACAGGGCCTAAGACCGAACATGCATTAACATAATATTGCAGTTTCATTATTGTAAATACTCGGGTGAATAAATGTACATTTTAATCACTAGGACCATTGTTTTTATCAATCTTTCCAAACCCATTCTCACTTAAAGCACGATAAACCATAGGCATACGCAGCTATTCTTCGAATCCTTAAAAAGTACTGTACAAAGTACAAACTACCCTTATTTACCTAAAGCCCACTCCCTCAAAACCCCGAGCAACGTCAAACACACGCAGCTAGTTTAATTAACAAAAGTTATATTTACAACACAGACTAATCGTAATACCCCATGATTGTCTGAATAGAATGAATTTCCATATGATTTCTAACATAATTAATACATTAAATGACTTGAGTTTGTTGCAGATTTTCCATGTTTCAGTAGCAAAATTTCATGAGATATTAAGGTATAAAATTTCTCATTTGTCACACAACTTCTGTGATAAAACTAGTTAAATATTTGAATGATTATTTACCAAATTTTCTCGAACTTTACATTAAACAAAATAAACATACTAAATCATCACTTAAGTGCTTCGTGCCAAAATTGCGTAATTCGAAATAAAGGGGGGAAAACTGAGTTAACGATATTAGTAAATAGATTTGGAGCAAAACTATTTATTTAAAAGGAAATTACAGTTATAAACAGCTTATTACGCTTATTAAATTATATTTACTTTTTCCTGTTCTGTAGCTTTTTGCTCGTTAATCAAAAGGTATAGATGTCAGATAGATGCGTTTTGAGCAATATCATTTACTTAAAACGTATGTAACTAAATTATAATGATCGATTATTATTTTCCCATCGAAATATAATCAGAAAAAGCTTCTTAAATTGTTTTCTGGTCAATTAAACATCCTTAAATTGTACTAAAATATGTTTTTAGCGTTGTTAAAATGGCTCAATAACGAATAAAATAAAGATAAAATCACAGAAATATCAAAAAAGGGGAAAAAAATCTATATTTTTGTTTAAAGGAAAAATGACAAAGCAAAAATCTAAAAATATTTTAGAAAAAATTACAAAAATTTTTATATATGAAATGCTGATTGTTTTAAGTTATTTTATTTTAATCAGAGTTAAAAATTGAATTTCTCTTTGTTTTATAGAATTATTTTGTGCTTAACTTTTATTATTAATAGTACTCAATTAAATTATTAAACGAATGTTATGTTTATATTTAATTAATAATAATCATAATTAAACTTAAATGTGTAATTAATTATTTCTTTACATATTAATAAGTAATTAAATATACTTACTCCTAAAATGCATATTACAAGTCTTTTCCATCCCTGCAAAAGTTATATATGTGAAAACAATTTTTCTAAATATTTAGTAATTAAATATTTATTTTACATAAATATCAATTAAAATTTTATTTTTAGTTTTGATAAAATTGTTATTATTTAAATGGGGATTTAAATTATATCATAGAAAGGATATCTATCACTTTACAATTCTGAAAATCTGAAAGTTTTCAATACAAATTTCTAACTCAAGTGCAAATATAATAATAATTTTATTAAATAATATGAATGGATACATTACAAATTACATAAAATTCTAATAAATTATAATATCTAAATTTAATTTTTAAGAAATTTAAAACTGAAAAAATTTCATGTCAAATTCTATAGAAGATTCACGAAGATTTTTTTTTTTTATTTAAAGAAAATGCCTTGTATATTAGCAAAATTAAAATAAATAAAAATAATTGATAAGAAAGTAGTTTAGAAATTGTCATTTAAAGTAATTTGCACTTTTTTCTTTTTATAAAAGGGGGTAGATTCAAACATCAAATTTTGAAAAATTTCTTAATAGAAAATGAGATGTAGGCCTACACGTACCGTACAAAGAATGACGTAGTTCACTATTCTAGTTTGAATAAATGGATGAATTTTAAGCTAGTCTACTCGAGAAGTTAATTACGAGAAAATGCATAATGTATATTTAACAATTTTGCAATTATTATATTATATTTTAGATATAGAGTAAGGCCAATTTTGGATTTGTGAGAGAACAAATGTGACATCTTAGGCTTAAGTGTGATAGCCATAAGCCTAAGCTGTCACACTTGTTTACTTTAGTATTATCATATATGATTCTTTCCTCCATACGAAAAATTAAAAAATGATAAACCTACGTTACGTATTAATATTTTGAAGATAGCGCAAGGCCCCTCGTAGCGTGAGGCCTACTCTTCAGTGCCGGCCCGAGGCAAGTTTTAGGATGGAGCGAGATCCTATTATTGCGCTCCCTTGGTCAGTAGCGTAGCGAACATAACTGGCGCTCGGGGCACGACACTTTATTGGCGCCCCTTCCAGAAACACATATAGTTTGTCTTGGAGACCATTTGGGCGCCCCTCTGCGAGTGGCGCCCGGTGCTTGATACACCCCCTTGCACCCCCTCGCTACGCCACTGCCCTTGGTTGCCCCAAATTTATACCCTTTAATTTTCTTTACCACTGAGGCGCCCCCTAGGACTTAGCGCCTGGAGCGGCTGCTCCTTTCGCCCTATGGTAGGGCCGGCTCTGCTTCTCTTGCTTGTTTAGCGTAAGTAGACTATAAACCCGGTTCTGATATAGCTGATCAAAAAGTCATTATGCGACTAAATTGTATCGTTTGTTATAATATGTGGCTACTTTATATATTAGAGAGGTTGAGGCGCACGTTTTAAACGTGTAAACGTGTACGTGTGACGTTCGGCGCCGCTTTCCCGTAAGCCTAAAAGTTTGACGATGGTGTTTGGAATGTCGAGTGTGATTCCACCGACTATCCAAACACCATTGTCAAACTTTTAGGCTTACGGGAAAGCGGCGCCGAACGTCACACGTACACGTTTACACGTTTAAAACGTGCGCCTCAACCTCTCTACTAATAAAGTAATGCATAGCAGTAGCAGAGCAAGAAGAGGATTATGGGACCTGGTGAAAAGATTAATTATAGGGCCCTACAAAGCTAATATTTTGATTAAGTTTATACAGTATATATACTTTGTGATTCATACATATATATGAACCACAAAGACATTTACGATATATATTTTTCAAAATGTTATTAACCAACCGGACCCTTCAGAGGCCCGGACTATTCAGTTTGCATCTAGCTGGGTCTGCCTTGTATTTAGATTACAAATGATACAACGTAGATGCACAGTGAAGTTTTGATCATCTTGTATCTATAATACCACCACTATTTATCATACAATGTATTCCTATAACTAATATTTCTTTCGCATAAATAATTAATGAATAATTTAATAATTCTACGCACAAATTAAGCCAATATCTTAACTATATTTAAAAAGAAAGACTAAAATTTTCATTGTTTATTGATAACTCGTGACTTATTTGAAACCGGATTTTTTCCAATCAATCATCGTCAGTTTTAAAGAGCAAATGTCATCCTTGAAAAATTAGAAACATCCTGCAGAACAAAAATTAAATCAGGATATCAGTAATAAACTCATGCAAATGATTAATTATTTTATATACTTATACCCCAACTTATAAATTGTTCTTTGGATTTTTCGAAAGCCCTTGAACTTTTCACAAAATGAAAAATATATATATATATACAGAAAAGGTTATTGACTGCTATCTGGTTTGTGATATTTATCGCTATATATAACGCGTTACATAAATTCTAATTATTTGAAATAAAGTAATATAAATTATTATTTTAAAATATATTATTTTATACATTACCCAACGGGGAGATTCTCTTTCTTCAGTAAATTCATATCTGTACTCCATACCTTTCTTCTCTCCTTTAGCATAATAAACAGGAATATATATATTTCAATTATAGTTAATTATAATTAAATTTTTTATATACTATATTTTCTCGCATGTAAAATTAAATTAGCTTTATACATAAGTTAATCTTATACTCAATTGACGAGTTATAAAGTAACTTAAATTTTAATTAATATATATATATAGCCTAATAAAAAATAGTTTACTTTTTAAAACTATTCAATTAAACCTTTATATCAAAGATGGCAGATGACCTTCGTCTATCGCCAAATTACTTGATATTTTTCCAGTATCGAACGTGAATATAATATTTATAAGTACCCAACTCATAAAAAGTACGATAGAATAATAAATTTTTCAATACATTTCGTGATTTTTAACTCCGTTTAAACGAATAAATTCTGTTAATAATAAAAGAAACTTTCACAAGATTAAAGAGATAATAAAGTTTAAGATAATCTCAAATAAAAATATAAAATATTATTATTAATTTATTTAAATACACTTACCACTAACTGTAAACTTTTCTTCACACTCCAGATTTAAATTCTTTCAAAAATAATCACTTAAATTAACAGATTAAAGTTAAATTATGTTGTGTGTTTTCTAAAGATATTAGTCCTTTTTTTTCTGTAATTTGTTATGCTGAATTTACGAATGATATATAACAGGTGACATCGTGGCAAAAGGTCTACTACAAAGCTATCCACTGGCAAACTAAATGGAATGTCACAGCGGGCAGACTGACCTTGCTTCTGCTACAAAAGTAGGTGCAATCTATCTACCCTCCTCCGTAAACATAACTTCGATAAGGATAAGTTTTTCAAAACTTAGACGATAGAGATCAAAGTATACTTTAAGTAACAAAAACTGAAAATATACAATATATCTTTAATTTAACAGTATAAACTTGATATTGAATACATATAATTTTAATACATGTTTAGTTTTAAAAATGCTACAAATTTTTTTTTTTAATTTATGTAAATTTATGTGATTTAATTATATTAAATCGTGATAATCAAAGCAAAATACATTTTATGAATTATCAGTGTTATTAAATTAGTGTCTAAGTAGACATCATCATCGTGTCCTGATGTAAATTGGAAGAGAAATTCAAAAATATTAAAAATTAATCAGCTTAAGGGAAATAAAATATTATATTTTAACATATAATGTTAAAAATTATAAATATGTGTGTTATAGTTTATACATAAAGTCTATCTCTTCCTTACAAAATATACAGAAGACTCGACTTTATCTTACAAAGTATACAGAAAGCTCGTCTTTGTACACGTGTTAAAGTTTTAATTTTTTCGTTTTCAACTTAAATATATGTGGCATTTTATTTGATTATCAGTAAATTGTATGCGAAATTTTATCAAAATCTTTTGGATACTGCCAGTGACTGATACAGGGACAAAATTATAGTGGTTTGTTCCCTCCCCATTGACATACACAAAAAAAAATTTAAATTTATTTGTTCGAACGTTGTTTTTAAAAACATTTATGATGGCAGATACGGTTTATCGGACAATACAGTCGTCGTTCACGTATTAATTAATAAAAGGTACTGTACTTATTCAAATGTTTTTAATTTTTCAGTTAGCCCATCTCTTTAGGTATTTCTGGTCCACCAGTGGGTACCAGTGTGTAAATAGATGGATAAACTTTAAATCATAGATGGTAAAATATACTTTCAGTACTCACAAGAGTATTTCTCAGAGTAAATTAATTGCCTCTGACACATTAAATTATACTTTAGTTTAATTCAAGTTTTATCGAATATGAGAATCTCAAAAATGTTGTTATAATTTCGAAGTATGATTTTATTATATATATTTTGACGTAATTGCTTATTAATAAGAATTAAACTGTTGAAATTATTATTTCGTTACGTAGACTGATAAGATTATTTTTTCCAAGAATATATTTGGATCCTCTGAATTCGGATTATTTTAAAATTATTAAGTGTTTAAAATTGATTTTATCGTATTAGAGATACTTTATGATATCAATAACCCATTTCATCAGTTTATATTTAATTGATTTTTATGCTGTTTGCTGGAAAATTTTGAGCTGTCTCTTTTTGTTATATGAATTATTATTTTATGATGAGAAAGGCAAACCATGATATATTTTTTTCGTCAAACGTGTTTAAGCATCAGAAAAGTTTTTAATTATTTCCATTCAATATTATTTCTGCTTATAAATACAGTTGCCGCGTTATCATCATCAAATTCAAACTTGCAAATTCTATGTTTAAAAAATACGGGAATAGTATTTAATTAATCGTGTTTTTTTGTTGATTTTATATCGAAATATTTACGTAAGTATGATCTTAGAGGCGTAATTTATTGTATATACATTACTTAGAGGAGTGTCTTATTGAAATATTGCGGGCAAATACAAAGTTCCAATAAAAGTAATGAAAACACATTGTATGCTATGTAGTGATTATATGTGTTAATTTAATGGAATTGGTGTTGTAGGTAGTGTAATGGATACTCACAATTCATTTACAAATCAATATCTCCTGATGTAACAATTATAGCATGTATGAGTTCATCATTGCACTTAACGTGCAGTAAACTTATACAGCCTTCGCAAAGACAATCGTTATTTATTATTAATACATGAAAAATCTATTACTGTTTTTCTTTTAGTGTGAAAAGAGTTTTTGGTTTACTCAGAAACGAATTGTCACAAATACTACCAAGTGCTTGCTACAGTTTTAAGAAATTGTACAATAACAGATAAAAGAGAAATGAATTTCGTCATCTTTTTCCTGAAAGTCTGAATGGAAAACAAATGTTTCACAGCAAAACAAATATCAAGGATAATGAATTCCCCCAGATAAATAAACGTAATTCATTTTCTTAGAAAATATATTAAATAATACATGAACTAACTTTTTCAAAATGAACATTCCAATTCTTTTCTATTATATCAATATATTTTATTCGTTTTTAACCTACTTTTACGTAAAACTGTTCTCTCATTTCGTTTTAAAATGTGCCAGATTTAAATTTAATTACTCTTTATTGTGATTTTGAAGTTATTGTTTATAATTTGAATATTAAAAATAAAAATGTCCAAAATTTCTTAATTAAACTTAGTAAATAAACACAAAGAAATTGCTTAGTAACGTTTATATTATATTTTGGAAGAAATTGGTGTCTTAAATCAGGGGCGTGCCTAGTGAGAGTTGGTAGGTCAGAGCTTCCCAAAACTTTAGCGTGAAGCTGTTGACTTATCTAATTGCTTCCTGGCTGTTATATATAAAAGAGGGAAAGTACGGCAATCGGTAAAAAAAATGAACCCCGCCCCCAAGATTTTTACATTTTTGGGCTCAGGACACCTGGAAACGTCGAGAAATGAAAAAAAAATTCCAGGGTTTTTTTAGTATGTATGGATGATTTGCTGGTGTTCCTTTTTCCAAAGAGGAAGAGGTAGGCCATGAAGTTTCCATGGTCTATCATGTTAGTGTGAGTGTGTATGGCACGATTTTGTTCATCCTGTTTGAAGCTTAATAACTCCTATGCTTTTTGTCGAAAATTTCTGGAATTTTGCAGGGAGGTTTTTTATTAGAGGGATCGATGCTGTTAAATTTTGGTGATTAAAGGTCGACGGGGTGGGGTGATAAAGGGGGTCGTGTGTATTTCCAGTAGGGTCGGACTTAATGACGATTCTACTCGTTATTAGCATTTACAATTTTTTATAACCCATCCCTACCTTCAAAATTAAGCTTTTCGTCATTTATAATAATTAAAGTGGAAAAAGTTTTTTTCTAATAAAATATAACAGATGACGCCAACAAATGTTGCCGGGAGCGTTAAGCAACTCGTTGCTGGATTTTTTAAAAATTGTATCTTGTAATCTTATTTTGAACTCAGTGAGAAGTTAGAATGTTAACCGATGATATTTAAATCTAATCGATTGGACGGCCGAGCGGTCAAAGGTGGCAGTCTACCGCTCTGGGGGAATCTGGACGGGTCGATAAATCCCTAGGAATTCTTCGGGGGGTGGTCCGTCAGGATATGTCGGGCCCCGTCCCTCACCACCCAGCCACCCAACTGTGGGTCTAACCGAATCCATAATGGGCTTGCTAAAAAAGAGGCCCTCTTAGTGCCCACAGGGCGGAAAGAGTTAAAACAAAAAATCTAATCAATTGATGCATGTGCTATATAGATGCAAACAATAACAGAGAGACATATCGAAAGCTGTGAATTGAGAGACACTACATTTTAGGTACTTTTTTCCACTGAATCTAAAATAAATATACACATTTTCTTTAAAGTGTTATAACTTTATCAATAATTAAATGTAAAGCGTGAACGTTCGTTTCCCCTACACTCTATTTTTGAAAATCTGTCTTAAATCTATTTTCTGATTACTTCACAGAAGAAAAGATAACTTATCTACTGGTGTGTAGAGTTTTACGACATTTCCTGTTGAGTGAGTAGTAAATGACAGTATCTTGTCAATGAGTAATGGAATAAAACCGGTGACAGTGTGAAGTTTTAGGTATAATGTTATCTCAAGTTTTGCATTATTTTTTATCTGCTTTATATATTCAATACTACAGAATTTGAAGATCATTGGATTGTTTTTACACTGCATTCCGTCATACAGTACGTCAGTTCAAATGCCTATTATCTAGGTAAACTTTACGAACTCGATTAGATCCACAAGTTTAAATTGCTTGAATAAATTCAAATCCCAGTGTGGAGATGATTTATTTGAATCACATTTTATAAGCTACGAATGGCTGTATATAACCTGTTCAAAAGTATAATTGTGTAAATTATTGCATCACATTTCTTGTTATTTGTGTTACTTTTCTGGAATTATTTTTTTAGGTCTTATTCAACTACTCATTAAATGAAATGAAACTTTATAAAAATCGCAAACACTGGATGACCAAAAAGTTACTTAACAGGGATATTAATTTTTAAATTATTTTAATAATAATTTAGAAATGGTCGCTTCCAGTAAAACGACCAATAACAAATCTTGTCGATTATGATTTAATTACAATTCAAAGTAAATAGAGATAATCTTTGTATAACGCGGTAATTATACAATCGCTATAAGAGTAAATAGAAATCATCTGTTTATCTGTTCTGAATAACTGTATATGCTTATCTGTTATTCTAGTAAACATTCTGTCAGTTACTACAACATAGTTCTCCAATGCAGATTGTATTTTCCCCCTTTATGGTGAAAGTTTTTCTCTGTAATCGTGATAGCTTTTATCTGTAATGGCGAATGTTTTTCTCTTTTATAGTGAAAGCGTTTTATTTTTCATGGCAATCTTGCTAAAAAAAACTTTTAAAGAATCCAGCTACGAGTTTCGTAATGTTCCCGGCTGTTAAGAGATTTTATTTTAAAAATAACTTTTATGTTATTAATCATGCTGTTAATAAATAAATTGTGTGTGGCGCCATCTGTTATGATATTTTATCATAAAACCTTTTTATATTAATTAATTAATTATCATAAAATAGCAAAATGGTTTAACTTTGAGGGTAGAGACGAGTTTTATATATACAAAAATAAGTTCTAAATGTTAATAACGAGTAAAATCTTCATTATGTCCGATCCATCTCGAGATATGATACGTGATCCTCCTCTATAGCTGAGCTTAGTTAAAATGATAAGAATGTCTTTTATTGTTTTCGTCGCTTGTAAAATTTGAGCATATCCATCTCAAAGTTCTCCGAATTGCTCCTACTTTAAACAGTGATTCTTACGTCTCA